ATAAAACAATGTTTGTTTTCTTGTAACAAAAAAAAAACCCATATTAAGAAAATGTCTTAAAGATTTTTTTCAAATTCCAAAGATTTATTTCACTATATCATAGTTTTCTAGATACCTATCTCATAACTTTCACAATTAATTTGTTAATCCTAAATTAATACATGTATTTCTGAACTGAACTATGTTCTAAAGTAGACTTGTCTAACTTTAGTAGTTCCTAACAAATATCTTGAATCCAGTGCATAAGAAATTTCATGGCAAAAAGGCCTTGAACTTATTTGAGCATCAAGCACCAAAGCCTGTACTAATCAATGTGGCCTCGCATGTATGTGAGCAATTATTCTTTCAAATTGTGTGACATTTTTGTGGTTAAAATACAAATTCCTTTTTAATTTTTTTTCTCTTTTTCCCTCTTTTTACCTCCCCTTCAAAATTTATGTTGCTTCATAGTGAATGTTTGAGACACATTGGGAAAAATGTGGTTTAATGGTAGATTTGATCCTTCAATATGTAACATAGAAATTAATGAGATTAAAATAGCCTGACTTGTTTGGACTTTATCAGTGTTTGAAATGGTGCTTTATTGTAGGTTAGAAAACACTAATTTGGGTACAAGCTCTGAGACTCTGTTATTAGCTTATAGGATTTTGAACTCCCATTTGATACGGTACTAGTTGAAAGATTTTTGGCTTTATTTTTGTTTACAGCTTTAAAATTGATTAAATGTTTTACATTTATCTTCAAATTGGTTCTCCAATATTACACAATATTCTTAATAAATTTTTACTGCTTGTTAACATCAAAAATACTAAATTAACACATTGGAATGTCAATCTTAAGAGTATTAAAACAACCATAATACTAAAACTATCTTATATCCCAGAGTTTAGCAAATTTTCAGGTGCATGCTTTATTATTTTTAAAAGTAAATTATAAGTAATGTTATACTGTCTGTTTTGAACTCACATTTCCGTTTCGGATCTTGCAGATTTTATATTGGCTGTGATCGGTGTCAGAACTGGTACCATGGGCGCTGTGTTGGCATCTTGCAAAGTGAGGCAGAGCTCATTGATGAGTATGTCTGTCCACAGTGCCAGTCGACAGAGGATGCCATGACAGTGCTCACACCACTAACAGAGAAGGATTATGAGGGGTTGAAGAGGGTGCTGCGTTCCTTGCAGGTGAGAGGCCATTGCGCAGAGTGTTTGAAAATGCAGTCGGCCAGTATGACTTTGGAAACAGTTCTAGGGTTTGAAGTTTCCAGTCTTAGAGTATGTGATTATTTACCGACTCCCAGCTTGTCCACTGAAGTGCTTGGCAAACTTTAGTCCTTCACATGCCAACGTCACGAGGTTTACCATATCCCTACACCACCTCAATTGTTGTTTCTCTAACACTCTTATTTAGAATAACTTGCTTTTTTAACTTAATTCTTATTTTTAAAGAAAACTTTATCTCACCCCCATAGATTGAAAAACAATTTGATTATATTCTAGTTATTCCCTTCTTTATGAAAATTAAAAAGTGATAGGAGCCAGGCATGGTGGCTCACACCTGTAATCCCAGCATTTTGGTAGGCGGAGGTGGGAGGATTGCTTGAGGCCGGTAGTTCGAGACCAGCCTGGACAACATAATGAGACACCATCTCTACAAAAAATTTTAAAGTAAGCCAGGTATTGTGGCACTCGCCATACTCCTAGCTACTTGAGAGGCTGAGGCAGGAGGATCGCTTGAGCCCTGGCACTCAAGGTTGCAGTGAGTGAGCTATGATCATGCCCCTACACTCCAGGCTGGGCAGCAGAGTGAGACCATGTCTCAAAAAGGAGAGGAGATAGGGTTGGTTTGCAGGATTTGCAAGTGATAGAGATATATTCAAAATATAGAGCACTAGATTGAAACTTTCTCCTGTTGTAATTATAGTCATAAGGATGGAAAGAACTGGAAAGAGAATCATAGTCTCAATACATGGTTGAGTGTTATTTAACATCACACCTGTGCCACTTTATTAACCAGCACTGGTAACCATTCTACACTTTGAACACACCCCACCCCAGTTTTACAGATGTGATTGCAATGCCAGCATTACTCATTTGGCAGGTCATCATGTAGGGACCAGAGTAGTGCAGAGTTCATGACTCCTGAGCCAGTGCTCCACACCAGACACCAAGGTCCTCAGACCAGCCTTTGAGGACTATTACTATAGAGTGTGCTCATCTTAGGTAATTTGTGACTAGAGCAGAAATCATCTAGTATAAATAATTTATCTATCAAATTTAAAACTGAGTTTTGGAGTTTAAGGGTTGATTGATGTAGTGACTCAACTTAAATGGAATCGGTATTTCCACCTGACAGTAATGATGCCTGTTTTTTCATCATAGGCACATAAGATGGCCTGGCCTTTCCTTGAACCAGTAGACCCTAATGATGCACCAGATTATTATGGTGTTATTAAGGAACCCATGGGTAAGTACTTGAGTTGGATAGTAAGCTGTTTTAGAAGTCTCCGCAGCTATTTTATTTGTCATCCATAAAATTGCTGTATATCATGAGACCATCTTGAGCAAGGCTGGTGGGAGTATAAATTGGTGTGGTCCCTTTGGAGGGTAAATTGAGAGTATCTATTAATGTTTAAATGTGCATACCCTTGAATCCAGCAACTTCATTTCTTAGAATTTACATGTGCATAAGTATGTTCATTGCAGCATTGTTTATAATTGCAAAAACATTAGAAATGAAATAAATAGCCACCAATAGAGGAATAGCTATATCAGATGGTATATGAGTGGAATGTTGTGCAGCTTTATAAAAGGATGAATGAAATCAGTGAATGGCTTGGGGTCTGTGTGACCCCATCCTCCCCTGTCACTTCCTCCTCATTTTTTCTTGAAGGAGAGAAATTTGATGGACTCACAGTAGAGATCCAAGAGAATATAGCCTCATTTCCCAGAAAAAATGGTAATAACAGCCACAAGTAATTGTATTAAGATGAATAGCTATAAATGGTTGTATTAAAAAAATAACTTATCTGTAAAATAAATTATAAAAATTAAAGCGTAGATAATAAAAGCTGCCAAAGAACTAGTTCCAGCTGATGAAAGAATTGTGTTCCTTAAACCAGCTAAGCATTGTTTAAATGGGAAGAGTTTGTGTTTGATGGCAGAGGGGGAAACATGAAGAAGAAATAAATGAGGACTTAGTTAAAACTTTCTTTGAAAAAGAAAAAAATAAATAGTTGTTACCTCTGTCATGATGTTGAAGATGGAAGTAGTACATATGTCAGATTTACGTAGTGTCCTTTGAGAAAGTAGCTGGGGGTGTTTATTAAATTAATAAATTAATTCTGATGAAAATAATACAAGTTAATTGTAGAAAGTTTAGGAAATAAAAAAAAGAAAAGATAAAGGGTACCTTTCATCTCTTCCTCACTGAACCAGCAGGCCTTCCATATTGGGGACAGCCATTACTTTCGGCGTGTTCTTGGGTGCATGCGTGTTAGCACTGAGATCATACAGTAAATGCAAACATTTTCCTGTGTGTTATCTTCAACAACTTGATGTTAATGGCTTTTTATGGTCTATTAATTGAAAATACTGTAGCTTATTTAGCCAAAATTCTTGGAAGAGCTAGATTGTTTTCCTGTTTGTTTCTTTGGTTTTGCTTTTGTTAATACCAAGATAAACATCGTCTTATGTATCTCTTAGGTAGGTATATAAATATAATATAGATCTCTAAGATGTGTTGTTGGGGAAAAAATGAAAGTTACAGAAAAATGCTTAGATTTTAAGCAGTAAATATTTATTTTCTAAGTGTACATAATTATGTTTAGAAATGCAGAGAAAATATCTAGAATGATATAGACTAAATTGAAAATAGTATGAAAATAGTTTCCTTTGGGAGTTCGAGGGAACCAACAAGATCAGCAGCTTTCGTTTTCTTAAACATAAATAGGTTTATGTGAATTAATGTTTTATAGTACAAACTTAGCAGTACCCTTTTTTATAACTTAACAGTACCTTGGCCAGGCATGGTGGCTCACGCCTGTAATCCTAGCACTCTGGGAGGCCCAAGCGGGAGGATCGTTTGAACTCAGGAGTTTGAGACCAGCCTGAGCAAGAGCGAGACCCTGTTTCTACTAAAAAAAAATAGAAAGAAATCAGCTGGACAACTAAAAATTTAAAAAAAAAAAAAAATTAGCCAGGCATGATGGACCATGCCTGTAGTCCCAGCTACCTGGAAGGCTGAGGCAGGAGGATTGCTTGAGCCCAGGAGTTTGAGGTTGCTGTGAGGTAGGCTGACGCCACGACACTCTAGCCCAGGCAACAGAGCAAGACTCTGTCTCAAAGAAAAAAAAACAGTACCTTGTTCACATCAACTATGTTATTGACCTAGATTGTTCTTAATTGTACAAAATTAAAATTACTTAATCACCACCATTCATGGATTTTTTTGGTTGTATACAATTTGGGGTTTTTTGTTTTGTTTTGTCTTTGAGTTAGGGTCTTGCTCTGTTGCCGAAGCTAGAGTACCATGACGTCAGCCTAGCTCATAGCAACCTCAAACTCCAGGCCTCAAGCAATCCTCCTGCCTCAGCCTCCCAGGTAGCTGGGACTACAAGCACGCGCCACCATGCCTGGCTAATTTTTTCTATTTTTTGTTGAGACAGGATCTCGCTGTTTCTCAGGCTAGTCTCAAACTCCTGAGATCAAGCGATCCTCCTGCCTCAGCCTCCCAGAGTGCTAGGATTACAGGCGTGAGCCACCGCACCTGGCCCTACTTTTCTTTTTCAAATATTTCTTAGGTATTCTTGTACTTTTATTTTTTGGGTGAACTTTAAAATCACTTTTTCACATTAAAAAAAAAAATAACTTGAGTTGAATTGTGTTATTTGTCTATTTTAGATTGATTTGCTATCACTGGCCTTTCACTCTCCCAGATTTTTATATAAAACTGTGTGCTAAATTTTCTTCAAACACAACATTCTCCTAGGACCCAATGTTTCTGGTAGATTTAGCTCAGTCATTATAATCCAAAGCATTTACCTGCTCTGCGAGTAAAAAACAAACCGTTTTTCCTCTGCTCTCACACCACAACAATCAACACAGAAGACTTCTGTGACCTCTGGTCACCAAGAAGTGTGTGGGATTTCTTCCCACCCACAACCAATCCAGCAATCTGCAGGGGACACCAGCTGAGTGTCCTCTAATTCAATTCTGACACTGTCTCCCTGGAGATGGCATCAGGTGACACAGATTGAGGGATCAGTCCCCAAGATTGCCCCTTCCTTCAGATGCCATGTACATATACTATACTTAATTGTTTGCATGTGAAAATTTATTATACTTAGATATGCATAGATCATGTTAGTGTGGCTTCCTTGATCTCAAACCAGTTGAATGAAGAGCTGTTCTCTGCAGTTAACCAAACAAAAGAACCTTAACAGCAACCAGGATTTATATTTAGAACCTCAATCAAAAACAAAATTGGAACAGCTCTGCTGTGTTCTTTATGAATTACAGAATAGTCTCCAGTGGTGAGCTGGCCTGGTTCCAGGACTGTTTGTACAGTAAACATACATTCTTGTTAGTCACAACTTGGGAAATATTCACATTGGAAAAACCTTAAAGTTTTGAAAATGTTTTACATTTTGTGTTTTTAAGACCTCGCCACCATGGAAGAAAGAGTACAAAGACGATACTATGAAAAGCTGACGGAATTTGTGGCAGATATGACCAAAATATTTGATAACTGTCGTTACTACAATCCAAGTGACTCCCCTTTTTACCAGTGTGCAGAAGTTCTTGAATCATTTTTTGTACAGAAGTTGAAAGGATTCAAAGCTAGCAGGTGAGCACGTGGATTCAGAGTCCTGAATTAATTCAGCTCTTCAAACTCTTTATACTGTCTAAGGAATTAGCCAATGCAGTTTATGGTAAATTTGAAACTTAAAAATCTTTAAAAAAAAGTTCAACCCTTAGCATTATGCTATACTACCAAGGACAAATGGACAGAAAAAATAATAGGAAATTGCTGGGTTTTTGATCTACTTAAAATTAGTCATTTTTTTAAATTAAAAAAGCACTTATCAAATGCTTACAGAATGCAAGATGCTGTCTTAAATGCCACAGGGCATGTACAGAGGTAGTAAGAGCTCTGTTGTCACTCAGTTTTAGGGTACTAGAGAAGTATGGAAACGACTGTTCTCTAGAGCAGAGTGAAGGGGGGTTATTTAAATACTTTCTCTTTAATTTACATTTGCTATATATTTGAAATCATAAAATGTTACCTTTTTTTCTGGATGTTTTTTCTCTGGGCAAAGCTAGACTTTAAGTTCATAGGCCTTTTCTTTGAACCTCTAGTAACACAAAAGCATTGAGCAACTTTGCAGGAAATTCAGTTACTGTGACCTTAATGCCCTTCTGTTTCTGAACCTTAACTCCCTTCTCAGGCCTATGGTTCTCTTCCTTCCAACAGAGGCCTGTTTTTCTTTTTTTCCTTTCCCATGGTGGCTGCCACCACTCCAAAGCCCTTGAGATTCATTACTCACCATCCTCGTCTGCTGGCCCATAAGCTTGATGTCCCTAGATACTCAGAATGGGTGGCCCTTGGCTGGGCTGGGGCCTGGGCGTCTGTGTGTTACCTAACCAACTCCTAAAGGACCTGCACACCAAAGTGTAAGAATCAACACTCCACCTAGTAATTTTGCTCTAAGGAAAATCTATAGGGTGTTTTGTCTCTTTTCTTCTCCTGTAGCAAGGTAGATGATTACCAACAACTGTATTTTAGAGTCAGTTTACATAAAACAAAAGTGAAGCACAAACCCAGCTAAAGTATCCAATTACCTTCTCAGCAAAGGAATCTTAACCTATAAGGCAAGGAAGGAAGAAAAGCAGGCAGGCAGGCAGGCAGGTTTGAACCAAGAAACTTTACAGAATCTCTAAAATGTTGCCATTTTTATCATCCTCTATTTCTTAACCCATTAGCTATAAAACTAAAAATGGAAGAAAACTTAATATGACAGAGTTCTCTGGAAAATAATAAAATAACAGGAGTGAGAGGGCGTAAACTCACAGTAGTGAAGAAAACGTAGTAGAAAGCGGTCTGCTGATGAGCTTTCAACCGTCTCCCAAATTTAAATTGTGGAATATAGAAAGCAAGTGGAAGAGAGGACGGATGAAGGCAGGCAGGCCACAGCCCAGAATCTTCCTAGAGGGGTTTTCAGCAGAAGTGACAGCTGATCAGTGGAACCCCAGAGAGCTCCCACACGTGGAGATTTGGGACTATGATAGAAGGCACAAGAACAGGAAAAGGGGGATTAACTGAAGATCTGTGTCTACAGGTCGGAGGTGGTGCTGGCACCTAACAGGTAGAGGCCAGAGATGCTGCTGAACATCCTGTAGTGCATAGGACTGCCCCTCACGCAGCAAAGATCCAGCCCCAAATGTCAGTGGTGTGGACGCTGAGAAACCCTCGTTTCCATAAGCGCTGTGCACTTACACGGGGCCCTCCAGGCACACGTCTAGTCAGTTAACTTATCCTGAAGTGTAACACACCCAGGGACAGCCAGGCGTGTAAGGAAAGCCTACAGTGTGAAGAGAAAGGTCGAGGTGTAGCAGAAAAATAGATTTTCAGAGAAAGCAAAAGAGAACTTTTAAAAAGGAAAACAAACCTCTATATCGTATCCCGAGAGAAATTTCAGGTGACATTGCATCTATAAAATGGTAAGCAGGGTATTAGGAATAAAAAGCAATCTGAGAACAAGAGTGATTGGAAGAAACACAAACTTCTTGCAAGCTGTGAAAGTTAAAATCAAGGAACTTCCCCAATGTAAAGAACAAAAAGACAAGGAGATGAAAAATATGAAAGAAGAAATATAGATTATCCAATATTCACTTAATAGAAATTCCAGAAAGAAAGAACAGAGTAGACAGAGGAGAGGAAATTTTTTTTTTTTTTTTTTTTTTTTACTTTGTTGCCCAGGCTAGAGTGAGTGCCGTGGCGTCAGCCTAGCTCACAGCAACCTCAAACTCTTGGGCTCAAGTGATCCTTCTGCCTCAGCCTCCCAAGTAGCTGGGACTACAGGCATGCGCCACCGTGCCCGGCTAATTTTTTCTATATATTTTTAGCTGTCCAGTTAATTTCTTTCTATTTTTGGTAGAGACGGGGTCTCGCTCTTGCCCAGGCTGGTTTCGAACTCCTGACCTCAAACAATCCGCCCGCCTCGGCCTCCCAGAGAGCTAGGATTACAGGCATGAGCCACCGCGCCCGGCCAGAGGAGAGGAAATTATTGAAAGATTAATATAAGAAAAATTTCCTGAGAGGCACAAGACTTTAAATCCCAGCAAAACGAATTCATTCATTCAGCCTATGGCTATTGAGAACCTGATGTGTACCAGACTTTGGGAATTTAGCAGTGAATACAGTGAAACCCCTGCTTTCTATGGGGGTGGAAGGAACAGTCGATAAACATAACAAACCAGGTAGACAAATGGGAAAAGCTCCACTCCGTATGCATCACTGTAAAATTTCCAAATGCCAAGGATAAAAGCAGCTCTTCTAAAGAGCTCCTAATGAAGATAAAACAGATTACATATAAAATAACAAGAATTAGACTGGTACCAGGCTTTTCTACTACAACATTTAATGCTAGATTATGGAGGAATAAATCCAAAAGTTTAAGGAAAAATGATTTTCTGCCTAGAAGTCTGTGTCCAGCCAAACAATCAAGTGTAGAGGCAGGATAAATGCATTTTCAGTCAGTCATGTAAGGACTCAGAAAGTGTGTCCTTTCTTGGCAAGATGTGTGCTAGCAAAAGTAAGGAAACAAATCAAGAAAACAAAAGCTTGGCTTCAGGAAACAAGAAGTTCAAGAAAGCAATGAGAATTACTCTGACCCAGGGTGACATTTGTACAGCAGGCCTTCGTGGCAGGCAATCCAAATGGTAGAAGAGAGTGGACCACTCCCAGGAGGGAGATGTCCAGAGAAAGGAAATAATTCATACATTAGATAATTTGTTTAAGACAGAAAAACATAAGGCTATAATTAAGCCAAAGAATGTAAGGGTTAAAAATTGAAAGGCAGAATCTCCGCAAAAAACCAAAAAGCTGTATAAGAATACCCTCTTAGCAAAAGACTAGGTGCTACAGAGGAAAATATTTATATGGTCATAATAATGTAAATACTACATTGATTTTAGAATCAACCTATAGAAAAAATATAGAACATTATAATTTTTAATTATAGGGAAATAAAACTTGGACTCAAAAAAGGGACGTGGGAAAGTGGTTAAGTGAGCTTGCTTCTCATTTGTTCATAGCAGGGTTTAAACAAAATACAGTTGATAAAAGAAGAAATAGTAGTATCTGAAATCTTAACGACCCAAGAGCTGAAAAATCAAAGCGATTGATCCCAAGGAGCCTGGACTTCAGGTTGAGTAAAGTAGGACAGAGGAGCTCGACTTCTCATTACAGCCCCTCTGTGCCCTTCAATTCGTGCATCATAGTTATTCCTCCCATTAAATTTCTAAAATTGCTGTTTTAAATTGGAAAGGCCTTTGGCGGTAACTGGGAGGTAGAAGCTGGGGGGTTTGAATCCCACCCGCTGCCAGGCTTGCAGGCAGACCCTGGAGGATGAGTGGTAGCAGCTGCTGATGGAGGAGAGGAAGACGCCTGTGGCAAAACAAAGGGATTTGGGGAAGGAAAGGAGGAGGCGTAGGCTGGGCCTGCACAGTTAAGACTGTCTTGCCACCTGGTTGTTTATGTAGCTTTTTATATACTCAAGTTTACATAATTTTCATTAAAGAACGTGGGAGCTGAATTGAGAAGTTTGCTCAATTCTGCATAAATAAATAAATTGCATTGTGAAAAGCTGAGTAAAGGCAACTCACTGTTGCTTTTATAGGGAATTTCTGTTGATTTCCAGATCTAAGGCAGAATGAAACAGATAAGTCACCAGTCATTGAAACTTGATTTATTTATGAATTTCCAGTATTTCCTTTGCTGTATTTCCCCGTTTTTAATTTATGGTCTCCAGCACTGTCTGCTCATTATTTTCATTACTGTACTTTGTTATAATTCATCATTTATACCATCCATGTTCTCTCTTTTCTTACAGATTGTGATATCTTTAGTCTGAATTTTTAACTGGAATCAGAACTGGATGTTGGGGTCACTCTTTGTTTTGTTGTACCACGTGATTACCTAATTCAAAATTGCCCCCAAAAAGTTCAGATTAGTTAATATAATTTTTTAATGTTAAAAAAAGATGTATAGTGGTAAACAATTTATTCTAGCAGCCATGTTGAGCAATGTATTTAAAAATTGTAAACTCTTGGAATACTGTATTTATCTGCTATTGCAATATAAAGTATTTTGACTTAGTCCTGGTAACTGTAAAGTAATTTGGTTTACTAACGAAAAGTTGTGAATAAAACTGTGAAACTAGAAGGGAGACTTTCTGGACTTTAATAGAAAAATGTGATTTTAATATTGCTACTTTTCTTCTTTTAACATAATTTTTTCCCTTCATATTCCCCAAATCAATGTAAATAAACACACACACACACACACACACCCCTTTTACCACGATGGTAATGCTTCTGTAAATGTCTCTATTTGTCCTGTTGGCTGAAAATGTTATAATCTTTATTAGACAAATATATCTATTTTTTTAAATATTGGCTTTTTCCAGTGAGTTATCATGTTTAGTGTACAGTGAAATGTTTTCATATTATAGGTTAAAAATTTCTTAATTGTTTTCTTATATTTGCTTGCCAAGGGTGAGTCAAAGAACATGGCTGCTTCTCCCAGACTGACTGGCCTTGGCATCCACATAAAGCATCATTGTTTTCAAAAATGAAGGGTGCTTAATTGTTCCCTTTTTTCTATATTCTGTAGGTCTCATAACAACAAACTGCAGTCTACAGCTTCTTAAAGTTCAGCGTGTTACCCTAACATAAAACACAGCAAGAATCTGGTTGTCTGAACTATTTTAAATTAAGGAGCCAGATGTTTTTAGTCAGGCTATCCTGACCAGACCTAAACTTCGTTTTTATTGGTCATAACAGTCCAATTATATTCTTGGCCAATTTTGTCCAACGGACAAGAGAAAAAGCAAAGTCAACGACACCATTATCTTGTCAAGATCAAATGGTTTTACTATTGTGGCAGAAGCGGGAAAACTTTATTGAAAAAAAAAAAGAAAAAGAAAGCAAGAAAAAAAGATACTATGGGGTCAAGTGTAACTCCATGGAAATGCCACGTCTGCTCTTCAGTGAAGAAGCTGGTTTAGAGTCTCACAGAAAACTTTTGACTGTATTTATTTATTGTTGCAAAAAAGACGCTTTTTTATTGCTGCCCTCATTTGTCAGCTAATTATTTTTTCTTATAAAATCCAGCCCCAGTTACACGTAATCCATCCTGTATCTTATCATGATTCCTGTAGGTAAAAGTACAAGACGACCTCTAGATGTCTTTTCTTTCTATGAAAGGAGCTGCTATGTACACATGTGCACACACACACAACTGGGAATCAAAACGAGTTTATTGTTCATGGTAGATAAAAATGAAGCTTGCGTAAAGGTTGGGCTAAGTGGTCCTGGACTACAGACTCTGTTGCCTTGACTATAACAAGTACAATTTGTCAGTTACTCTGCACCAGGCTAAAATGAGTAAAATCTATTTGAAGGTATCTTGTTTGTAAACATTTGTCAGATTCTAATTTTTCCTTTTTGTATTAAAATTCAACTATGGATGTATACGAAACAAAATAAATGGAGATAATTTTTCTCCCACAGACGGAGGTGTCTTTGAATGTGCGCTAATGATTATCTATAAGCCTTCGTGGGGAGGGAGGGCTGCAGGGCTGCAAGGTGACGACAGGCAGAGGAATCTAATCGTACCTGGGTCTCTCCAGGACGGGAGTGTCCCTTCATTTCATAATTCCCAGTCCATTGTCATCACATCAGAGAAAAATCTTCAGGGGTGCTAATCCTGTTGCATCAATTGATCACACTAGTGAAAAAGGTAATGTGACAAAACACCTTGCCTTCATCTGTACATTCTGCGACACCAGGCGAATCACCAGTTACAGACAGCAACTAATATTTTATGAAGGGCATTTTTCAGATGACGTCATCCTCTTTGTATTTTTTGTTTGTTGGTTGGGTTTGTTTGTTTGTTTCGTCCACATAAGGAAAAGTAGTTTAAGCAGTAGGAAGAAAATGGAAACAACTGAGGAAAGTGTATTTTGCATGTTTTTCCTTTCAATGTTCTTACACATTGTATTACTGCATTGTAATAATAGCTTCTATAAAATCTGCCATAGTGGATTACACAGCTTTGCAAAAATTCTACTAGATTTTGCACTAATTCATATTAGCTTTGTCCTACCAAGTTCTGGAATTTAATTATTGTTTTTTAAAGTTTTCTTCTGTTTAATGTCGCCCTGCTATGCAAAACCTTTCCCAGACCTTAGTTTCTTAAAAGAAAGACGTTGCTACAGTTCCTGATTCTTTCTTATTACAGGCTCAGGTGTACAGGTTATTCTGGGTTAATTTTATCTAATGAAGCCCATTCCTTTTTGTACATAAAGATGTCACTTAAACCTATGCTTACAAACTAAAGAGACTAATTGCTCAATATGAAAACGTGGAAACAAAGTTTTTGCTTAAAATATTAAGATGGAAGTAGTTAAATATAGGTTATTTTGTCCTTTTTAAAAAATGTTACATATTGTATGCACTGTGCTGATGCAAGAATTCTACATTTTAATGAATTATAAAGTTATTCTGCATCTCATCATGTCACAGTATTTCTGTACTATTTATTCATATATATATAAATATATATGGGCTTAATCATTTAAAACTTGTTGCGGCAAGAACTTTCCTACCTGTAGGCAATAGATTGCTATGTTTTTAACAAATTGTGGCAAATTCTAAACAGCAATTCTTTTGTACGTAATAGGACATTTCATCCTAGAAAAATAAAGTAATGTTTTTGACATTGGATTTGGTGCAGTTTCTAATGAAACAATGGTTTGTTGGTTGATATGTTTTCTGTAGCTGTTGGCATTGCCAAATTGTACAAAAAAGGTAAATTTTATGGATATCCTGAGACCAGAAAGATGTTAACTTCTTATGTGTATTTAATGGTATAAAGTATTTTACAATTTCTATCACCATATAAATACATAAAGACATTTATAGTTTTATCAACTACAGAGCTTTAGTCTGTCAGAAGTAATTTTTGAAAAACATACATTCTTATAAAACAATGAATTCCAAAAGCTGCTTTTCTATGAGTATTCTTTGACAAGCTTCTGCTATTCAGTGAGATATACATATTACAGCTGTTTTGCCTTCAATAATCCAAGGAGTATAATGCACATTTGTGATACTGTTAGGATGTTTCTACCCCAATCTTTGGACCTGTAAATATATTTAACTTGCATCAGATTTCCTTGGCTAAAAGTATTTTCAATGCTTGTTATGCTTCATCTGCCAAGTTCACAATCCTTGAGACCATTTCAGGAAAAGTATTTTCATAATATTGTTAAGGTTTTTTTCTTCTATCCAAGTTCTGCAGGATTTGTACTGTAATTCATATCCTGCAGTAGGTTTTAAAAAATTGTGAACTTTCAGAGATATTTTCTAAAGTGAAACACTCAATTACCTTTTTATATTTCAAGTGGCCTGGAGTGTTGTTTAGAGACACTGAGATTTGCTGTTGTTTGTAATCTACCTTCCTAGAATCTGCAAATAAAAGTTCTTTTCCTATTTCTGTTCATTTCTATCAGGCAAACTCCCTGCTTCTTCGTTTTTGGTGGCCTTTCACATCTCTGCACACTTACAGAGCTACATGGTTATTACAGCATTCACTCTTTCCATGATTGAGGCTATTACCATAAGTCTCAGATTTGTTGTCCTTAAAATAAGAATGATGTTATCTCATGGACAGAGCAATGGCTTATAAGTACTGAGGTGGGGTGGCGGGGGAAGAGCCGCCTGAAAAGTTTTAATAATTCTGAAACAGTCTGAGCTACATCTAGATACTTAGAAGAAAATAGATACGGAAAAAGACTTTTTGGAAGATCACACCACTTGATCCAGTTTGGACCAAAGTCAACTAAAGAAATAAACTACATTTTAAAGTGATAAAGTCCTGCTTTATCTATTTGTTACTTGCTCAAATATATCCTGATATCGAGGTTATGCATTGTAGGCAGCAGGTCAGTTTTTAAATGTTTGCATATACATGTGTTTGGTCAACCTTAAAAATGATTTCAAGAGAAACATAAAGAGTGCCAAATGATATCTTTAAAAGGTAGTTGTAAAAAGCTAGTACCAAAAAAAAAAAAAAGTTTTATAGACCTTTCCCTACCAAAAGAAAAACAAATAGTTTTTTTCCCTCTTGAATTCTAAAGTAGCAGCTTAATTTAAAATTCTTATTCTTGATTTGAAGGAGGGATGCTGTTGAATTACTCTTGAAGGCAACTGAGCATTTTATTGATGAGGGACTATTATGTGCGTGCATACACACAAAGGGCCCTTTAGGCTTTGGAGCACAAACCCATTTGCTAAGAAAAATCTATCAATAGGACAAATGCACTAGAAACTACAATGAATTTGCTCATTAAAATTTTCTGTAAAATTAAAGACTAGCCAAGGTACTGACTGGATGTTGAAAAGGTGATTGTCCTTGACCTTGTTTGCCTAACCCGGCATTACCTGTCTTCCTTTCTGCCTGTTTCCTGCGCACATCCCCACACCCACAGCTGTTCGACCTCATTTGAGCCTCACTAGGCTTTCCTTACAGAAACGGACTTGAAAGCCTTAATTTTTATCCAGGAAGTTTCTAAGAAACTGGCTTGCGTATGTTTGCCAGGGTGGACACATTAACCATGTGACCTCCCAAGTATCACACACACCAGGGGGCTCTGGCACTTTTTGTGTTTCTAGAACATCCCAGAAACTCAGTATTATCAATCAATCTAAGTCAAACCCTAACCCTTGGCTTTATGTAAAAGTCATTTCTTTTTCTCTTAAACCATAGCTATTTATATCTCCTCTTCTTATGCTTGCACATCTGACCACCCAAACAATAGTTTATCTATTTGGCCATTTTGTAATTTTACCCATCATGCTACTCAAGATCGACACTTAGCCTTTTGACATTTAAAAATTTGACTTTGGTTTTTGTGACTGGCACTATTTTATGCCTGAGTTATTTATTTTTTTTTGGCCAGAGATAATTATCTGAAAACTAACTCAAAAGCTCTTCATTAGCTGCATACTCCATTGCCAATAGCTGATGTAGTAATGCAGTTGACTTCCAAAAAGCAATTCTTGTAAAGTTTTTAATAAGTTTGGACAAGACTCATTTTTGGAAAATTCCCTAAAAATCCCTCAGTAATACTTTACCACAGAATAATCAGAACCTCTCAACTTTATTTTACTTCTGTTTCCCATGTTTGGAACAAATACTATAACAGTATCAGACATTCTAAAGTCTTAATGCTGTTGCTACTTGTTTCCCATGAATTCCCCAGCGTCCCATCCTGATGTCCTTAGGTATTTGGTGCTACTGTGTGCCCTTACAGGGTAAAGACACGTGAGCTACCTGGAGACCAAACAGGCTGTTCTACTCTGCCGAGTGCAGTTCCTTTTTGTCTTCCTTGAGACAGTCATCTTCAACCATGCAGTATTGGTGTCTACTCACCGTGCCTTGAATTAACTGATTTACAGCCTGATCTTCTGGGGGGAAAAAACACTGCAATATCTTTGTGGACTCAAGTATAAAAGCAATATTAAATTTAGCTAGTGATTAAATCTTTTGCTAACAAACTGGAAAATGTTTAAAAATCACTTGCTTGTGAGCTGTCATGGATGAATACTGCTTCCAGGGTCTTTGGAGTAAGTTTCAGAAAGGCTTTTTCTCAAACTTTTGGGGCTCAGTGAGGCTACAAAAAAAACAGGTGCATCCAAGATCTGATTTCAAGGCAAGATTTACTGCTTTACAAACACAAACACGATACATGATACTTGGTCTTAATAGAAAAATGATACCAGATACACCTAGAATACGCTTAGCACTGGGATAGCTGCCAGTCGGCACAAAACATAAGTTATTAGGAGCAGGGAGGCATGAAAATAAACTATATCATACATTCTGGTACATCAGGAACACTTTTGCTTGAATTAAGCCCTTTAGTACTCTTTAAATGTAAAATTTTAATACTTATCCTGGGCTCTGACCCTAGTGTTTGATCTAGATGACATTTCATATGTAAATGTCTTTTGACTGGTGCACTTACTGTTCTGTGCAGAATCTAAAATGTGATGGTTTGAGTACAAAATTTGCTTTCATAACATGATATAAGCTATTCAAAATTGTATACTTAAATTCAAGAAAATGTTTTTTGTGAACTATTTCTACTACAGAATGTATTAAATTAAAATAATTTAAAAACAACATGAAGCAATAATCTGTTGACTGGACAGGTCCATTGTCTGAGCTGTGTCAATCACTGTCTGGCACTACAGTTGCATAGCCTTGCCACTGAGCTCAGCACACCATCAAGAAGCATTTTGTAAATAAGAAAGTGACACCTCCAAGATTAGAGTTGGAACTATGCAAGTCATTCATGAAGTACCTATGGGCCCTCTCCTAAAGGAAGACTCCATCACATGAAGATAGACCTTTCATGTCTCCTTGCTGAATTCCAAGTCTCCTGCGATCCAGAAATGCCAGGTGGTATGTTTCAAGTGCACTGGGTATGAATCGCACCTTGAACTTGCCCTTCCCTTTTTCGGTTAAACCTTTTCACGTAGCTGCTGCTGCTCCTGAGCAGTCCATCCCCTGGACGGAGGCGCCCTCTCAGGACCTGGAGCAGAGCTGCAGAGAGCTGCCGTCTCTTATGGTAGATGTGGCCCATCACAATATACCTGCTGCCTGAACAAAATAACCAAAATATAGTATTAATATTAATGGTGTCTTTTATATGCCATGAAACAAGAAGAAAAGGTAAGGCCTTTAAGAAGCGCCTAAGCTCAAATCTATTATCTTGCTGCACATGTTGAAACTCAAGACATTTAAACTACAGGCAACAGGTGGAAACAGTGGTTACCTTTAGAAGATAACCACATAAAACCTGCAGACGGCCAACATTACAGAACAAAGGTCCTAATCATAAGGTATCAGCGGGATTTTCCAGAGCAGTCTAGAAAGATGCTACTCCCTACCCACTCCCTGCTCCCTCCCTCCCAAAAGAAGCCTCTCTAAACTCGGTTCTGTGCGGAGTCCCTTATTCTTCCCTCTGGCAATGTTGTTCCGTCTTTCACTCCGTTTGTCAACATACATTTATTGAGAGTCTGCTTTGCGCCAATCAGTGCTGTTCCTACCTTTGGGGGGAGGACTGATGGGGCTTAAATCCAGGGTGACCGAAATAATACCTGTCGTCTAAATTCTATTCATGTTTTAATACCATCTCCCCCCCCAAAAAAAGGGAGGCCGGGGTGGCCAACGAGAACGGGTTGTGGCATCCGCGTTACAAAATGGTGGTATGGAGCACACAGGAGGCGGTCGTTTAGGTCAGTTTCAATACCAGGTTTAAATTCTGGGCACGGCTTGTGGCAACTGGAGGAGTCCAGCGCTAATAAGTGCACTCGGAAGAAAAACCCGTCCGGAGTGATGTACAGACGGCTCATCTTGTACAGCCCGTCGCGGTCCACCAGCAGCGTCACCAGCCGGATCCCCGCGCCCAGCACATCCACGTCGTGCACGATTCCGTTCACTGCTGCTTTCAAAAAACAGGGTTTGGAGACAAGCATTACACGGCCTTCCTCCGTCACTCCCCGGTGCGTTTGCTTTTAGCGAACCGCGAAAGGACTGGGCGGCTCGGAGCGCGCGGGGCGGAGCGGCGGGCGGGCTCACCGAACTCGCTGGCGCAGTACGACTCGCGCTCGTCCAGGTCGGCCCTGCAGACGCGCGCGCAGGGCTCGGCGCCGGTCTCCGCGTCCCTCCGCGGCGAGCTGAGGCGCGGCGGCGGCGCGGGCGCGGGACCAGG